CAGCTCGAGGACGAGCTGGCTCTCGACGGGAGAGGAGATGTCATGTTCAAACAAGTGTACACCAGCGCCATAGGGCCCGTGACATGCGCCGAGCCCAGGAGCGTTCGTTGCGCGCACGCACGGCAAGCACGCGAGGCACGGCCTCCAGAAGTGGCTAGGAGGAAAGTAGGAGATCTTTTAGCTATTTTGGTTAGTCCTTAATTAGTGGAGTTTGTTACTCTTTTTGTTGAGCCGGAGGCTATAGATATGCTGTAATCAAACGCTTGGCAATTAAGAAAGATATTACCATCTAATCCTCTCTCTTCTTCTACCTAAGCCGGCGGCAGGGGGAATAACCCACCGACGAAGAACGGCGGCAAGGGGGTATAACCCGGCCGGCCATCACGGACAGCGGCTACGATCTACGTAGCCGAGGTCCTCCTACCCTCGGGCTCACTGCCCTTGACAGAACTCTTGATACTAGGCTTGCCTTAAAATGGGAGAACGTGAACTCTTGATAAGAGGCGAGAAAGCAGCCTGGTTACCTGGTTTCCTTTACGGAGAAACTGTTATCAGTAATTCTATTTTTTTATGTGCAGTTTTGTGTTATAAATGGAGCATCGGTAGTTCGGTACAATTGTTCTTGGAAGATAGTTGGCATTTTTCTGCATTTTCAAGTCAGCTTTCACAAACTATATTAGACGTTTGAGTCTTATTTCGGTAGGATTCTATTACTTTTCTGGATTCTTGAATCCGAATTTTCATCATTAGAATGTTTATGAATTTAAATAGTTACATGTCATGTGGAACGCTGGCATCAATTCCTTCTCTAAAAATTTCAAATAGAATGTTTATATTTCAAATGCTAGAATGTTTATGAATTTAACACGTTACATGTCTGGTGGTCTGGTGGAGGTCTATTTGACATGAAGCCAATATATCACAATTGTTTAAATAATTAAATGTTCATGTAGAGATAAAATATGTGAATGAAAAGATAAATGTTGGATAACTATTATTGAGGTAAAATGCACAGGCGGTAATTTAACTTGTTATGGGTGTCATTGTCATTCAAATCTTGAACTCCCAAAATACGTTTTTCATGCCCGCCCCCGAACTTCTCACACGAACATATTCGCTGCCAACATAAGCAAAGTCGACAATATTGATAGTTCTGGAAATAAAACTAATGTTAAGTATGCATGTGAACGAGCCTACATTAAGAAACAGGAGATATTGTAGCAATTGTCTCATTATATGACACTAGAATTTGTCTCATAATATGACACTAGAATTTATTGTGCGTTAGCAATTTGCCACCAAAAGTCTCAAAGGAGACAGTCTATGCAAAAAAGGAGACACTTTGTCTATGCAAGCTTACGGTGCGTACAAACTGTATTTTCTGATTCTTAAACTGTCGAAAAATAACAGCTTTAGTGATTTGAATACTTGCCGCTCAATTTGATTACTAAGAGTTGGGTCAGATAAGATTTCATTCGAGCTAAACTCAGTTACAGCACTACCCATATTATTTGTCTCTCTCGATGATCTGGTACTTTCCGTTGCTAATCTTCATTTCAGGTCCCGTGACTTCCATTCTCAGGGTCACCACGTTCCCCTTTGTTAACCAAGAAACACCTCATTCCAAAAAGAACTGTGGATTGCAGCTTATTTGCAGCAGCAGTGGCTGTATTTTCTCTCTACTTGTACTGTACACCTACTGTTTTTTGCTGCAAAAAAGCTGAAACGAACAATCTAATTAACTAAATCTGGCACTAATGAAAGTGATGATCCATCAATCAAACATAGCTACTGACTAAAAATCAAGAGCAAAGATTGATTATTCAATTAATCATTTTGAATTACCTACTTGGCTGATTTTCCGCTAGCCCGTGCACGCCCCGGTGCTGGCCACTCGCACTCGCACGCTTGGTGCCTCTCGCCTCCGTTCAGGTCACAAGGGTTCTAGAGTTGGGAACGTAGCTGTAAATTTGTGCCTAAAGGCTGATCAATGTTCTTTAGGCCTTGTTTGGATGCACATGTATCCACCCTAACACATCTGGATTGATGTGGATAAATATACAACCAAACAAGGCCTTACGTGGTTATTCCGCCACTTGATCTGTACATCTCTACTGGTGCTCACCAAGGAGCCCGCCAGTCCGGGCAGGCGTCTAGAGTCGCCGGCCCCCTGGATCCACCCTGGTAGACAAGCATGATCTTCACCTTCATGCTAACAACACCCTACATAATAATACATCAATAAGTTTTTTCAGCTTATTTTTTCAACCGGAACAGTGTGAAGGGACTGTAACGCCTAAGAGGGGGGTGAATTAGGCAACTTAAAAATCTAACTCTAAACTATGGCATCTTTTTCTAACCTTAGCAAAACCTATGCAAAAGATAAACTATCTAAATGTGCAACTACGATTTTGCTAGTGTGTTGCTATCTCTACCGCAAAAAAAGTAATACAATTAATGTAAATGCGGAAGCTAAAGAGCAAGGTAGAGATATGCAAACTCCCGTCGACGACTCCGGTATTTTTACCGAGGTATCGAGAAGCGCGCAAGCTTCCCCCTAGTCCTCGTTGGAGCCCCTCGCAAGGGCCAAGCTTCCGATCGGGTAACTCCGTGGATAGCCTCGGGCCTTCCCCACACGCAAGTGGGTCTCCGACGTGCCTTCCGGCAAGCCTCTCCCGGATGCACCTCGCCGTCTTCACTATCAAGCTTCCAGCCGAAACGCCGCGGGCCTTGTTCCCTCCGGTACACGGTGGCGGCCACACCACAACCGCGGTTGGTGTGATCTCGCAAGACTACAAACCCCTCCGATGTACAACAATAGTGCTCGCAAGCACCGAATGGTAGGAAGTATGCAAACCTCACTAAACACTAGGCCTAAACCTAGAGCAAGCGCATAAGCGGTGGTCTAATCAACCTAAGCACTTCGCAAAGCACCTACGCTAATCATCTAATGAATCACTAATCACTATGCAAGTGGAGATCACTAAAATGGTGTATCAACACCCTTGGTATGTTTCCTCAGCTCCACACTTCTCAAATGGCCGGTTGGGGGTTGTATTTATAAGCCCCACTGAGAAAGTAGTCGTTGGGGTCGAATTCCCGCGAAACTGCTACTGACCGGACGCTAGAGTCGTCCTGATCGGACGCGTCCGGTCGTCCCGACCGTTGGAGCCGCGAACAACTGATCGGACGCTGTCAGCGTCCGGTCACAGTTTCGCCGCTCTGGAACCTCTCTGTACTCGACCGGATTCTGTTGTCCTGCGTCCGGTCGATCTACCGCTAGCGTCCGGTCGCGCCTGTTGCCGAGCCTCTTGATCGGAGGGTCCGATCACTTTCTTCCAGCGTCCGGTCACTTTTGTGAGCTCGTTTCTTCGCGATCTTGCGTACGGCTTGGTTCCTATCTTCATGCTTGGACTTTGCTTGATATCTTGGGTCTTCTCTTGTGCTCTTAGGGTCTTACTTATGGTGTTGATCATCAGATCATCACGTCGCCTTCGTCCAAATCACGTCTTGCATCCTATTGAACTACAAAACAATCACTTGCAAGTTCATTAGTTCAATTTGGTTGTGTTGATCATCAAACACCAAAATCCAAAGTAAATGGGCCAAGGGTCCATTTTCCTTACACAGTGTTTCTCTCTCACAACAAATCAGCCGGAACAGTGTTTCGGCTTGTTTTTTCAGCGAAGCGAACGGGGCCATTTGTTGAGAAACTCCATTTGGACATGTTAGAGTCGTTTAACTAGTAGACCAGCAGGATATGAAACTGCCTGCGCAGAAGGATGAACAAACTTTACAAAATTTTGTTACAACAAAGCAAACCATTCCCAATAGTGGCTAATAATCAATTACTGGTATGTGTTTTGCCATGCTTGCTGCATAAAATGGTCTTCAATTGATTGAATACTCACGAGGAATCTTATTTGAGAGGATGCCCGAGGTGAAAAACCATTGGTCGAGATGAAGGCTGCACATGAAACCTGCTTAAGAACTTGGGGCTTCGGATCAAGCTCAAAATGGGCTCCAAACCATGCTTTAAATCAAGTGTCTACTTCAATCAGTGGGCTTTTGGTGATTTAGCCTACATATGCACCCATGACTCCATGAGCGTGGACACTTACTTTTATTGTTCAAGAAATTATTCTATTTGATTATTTTACGTGAATTAGATTTTTGTAAAAAAAAATGAGATATGAAATCGGTACTTAATTTGCTTCTGTTGCAGTTATTTTAGTTAACATGTCATTTTTATAACCGCATCATAATTTCAGCCAATTTGTAGACTAACAATACGATTAATTTCTTGGCTTGATAGTTTGCATTGTTAGGAAAAGGAACTGAAATTTGCAACTGATTTTAATAATGTGTTCCTAGAAAACCATTGATGTAATCTCGGAAAATTGATGTGAATTTTGATCGTGCTTCATGTTAAGATTAGACTCTAAATACATTTATCAAAATGTATTATTTATTACAAGGAACAAAGTTGCTGTTTCACCATTGTGTGTGCTCTTACTACTGAATGTAACAAGGAAAACGGGAGGGTGCTCATCTACGGATCTACCTATCCTATCTCATCTCTAGATTAGCATATTCCAGATTTCAAGTACCGGCCGTGCATAGGGAATAAAGATTGCCGCCGATAGGGAATCAAAGAGAGAGAAAGGAACGGGCAGGATCAATTTAGAAAATCATTGATATAATCTCGGAACATTGATGTGAATTAAGATTAGACTCTAAATATAATTATCGATATGTGCCATTATTATTTTCTGAACGGAGTTGGCCACGGCATATTAGGGCGGCCCTCGTCAAAAGGGAATCAAAGTGAGAGGTTCCAGTGGCAGGATAAATTATGTTGTCTGAGCGTCATTATTAATATAATTAACGGAGACTCACCACCTCAACCTCTATAACCTCTCACCAGTCACCACACTCACCACCACCAGTCAACGACAACCACCACCCATCCAAGTGCTGTATCGGTAGGCCCTGTCGCGATGGAGGTGGTAGCAACCATCTCAACTCGGCTGTTCTGCCTCTCGGTTGAGCTGGGAAACAAGGACTCCTCGTCCATTCCAGCGTGGTGGGTGCCGCTTCTCCCCGCGCTGCTGGCCTCTCTGCTCCACGCCACGGTGATCTGGCCGCTCGCCGTCGCCACGCGTCACTGGTTTGGTGGCCAGACCTGCTCAACATGGCTCCGGGTGCTGAGTAAGGTGACGAACGAGGTGCTTCGCATTCTGCTGTCAGAGCAGACGTCGCTGTGGTTGCTGTACCTGCTGGCGCCGCACCTGTTCGACATCTCAAGGTGCAGGTTGGGACGCTTTTGGCGATGCTGCGCCTGCTGCTCAACAACACGGCGCGCCTCCTTCTCCGGCTTGTGACGGGCCTCCGTGTCAGCGCCGCTTCTACTGACGAGGATGAGGCCGCTGCTGCTGCTGATAGGCGGCAGCCTGGTGTAAGAGAAGATGGGCCGCGAAGGTCGGCCAGGCATCGAAGGCCCAGCGTCAGGGTGGCGGGCCCAGAATGGGACAAGCGGCTCCGTGGCTAGTTTCGCCACTGTGCGCTTGGAGGTGAACTATTTTTCTTTTTTCTTTTTGCAAAAAAAAAAATACTAAAGAAAACTCTATACCAGCGCCAATACGACTTTCCCAGGATATTTTGTTTTAAAACAGAGGAACTCAAGTTTGTTGACCGAGGAAATTTTCCGGACCCCAACTTTACCGGCAAGGCAACATTTTTTAACCATCCTAAATTTGTTTAGACCCGGTGATGCTGGCCGTCGCCGGCATCTTCCGCCTCTAGCAGCTCCTGCGTGTCCATAGCCTACTCTGCCAAGTCGTTGGCCATCGTGGCGCCGGCGCCAGCGCCCGGCAGCGGTGCCAAATTTGCCTGGGATGGACGCTGGAGGTCACCTGGGATGGCCGCCGTGTGCCGTTGTGCCGTCGTGTGCCGCCGAGTACCTGGGATTTGAGCTGGAGGCCACCGCGCACGGGCCTGGTGCTCAGTGCTCACCTTTCATCGGGCTCTGTGCATGTTTCACCGTCACTTTGGCAACGCCACCTCGGATAAAAAAAAATGTTCGTGTGTGGCTACTATAGACCTACGGTGCATTGTTTAACAAATTTAAGGGCATAGAATATATTTTTTAAGTTTATAGATTAAGGGTGTGTTCGATTCTCTCATCTAAACTTTAAAGCTCTAAAAATTGCAGAACACTTTCGCTCAATTCTAAGATCTAATGCTCTAATTAGAGGTGGCTAAAGTTTATAGCTAACTTTAGACCACCTGTTTGACACTTTAACTCTAACTTTAGTTTAGAGCTCGAGTTTAAAGAAATGGATCCAAACATACCCTAAGTGGCATTCCTTTTGCTTAACAAATTTAAGAACCTAGAATATATTTTTAAAGTTTATAGATTAAGGGCATGTTCAATCCTCTCATCTAAACTTTAGAGCTCTAAAAATTGTAAAACACTTTCGCTCAGTTTTAAGGACTAATGCTCTAATGTGAGGTGGCTAAAATTTATAGTTAACTTTATACCACATGTTTGACACTTTAACTCTAGCTACCTGTTTGACACTTTAACTCTAACTTTAGTTTAGAGCTCAAGTTTAGAGAAGGAGGCATTCCTTAACCAGTTAAAGGATCGTTCATATATTTAACTTTATAAATATTAGGATCAAACATACAAAAACAATGATTATATCAAAAAAAACTTACAATGTGTATATATATTCCACGACACATGTCTATTCACAAATAAGGCAAGGAGCTCCACCACTAGAATACAGTTACCTACAAGACAAGCACGCCCCTTTCTAGAGGAGCGTAAATAAAGGTGAAAAACAGGATAATAAGAAACAAAAAGGAAGTAAAGGAACAAAATGTCTACTAGGTGGGCCAAATCCCAGTTGAGCTCTAAAGAATTAACTCTCAAGTTGAACTATTGAAGCCAGCATAGTTGATCGTTCCCTATCAACGCATAACAATGTGACGCGAATTATGCAAAACCACACCTAGGCTATCGTCGCATTGATAGATGCTAACATTACAGTACATCGCCAAAACCACACCTAGGCTCCTCAACATTCTTATCCAAACAAGTTTTTGCATTGCTAAGTTGATTCTGTAAAAGCGTGTTGAACTACAGGCAAAAATAAACATACCAGAGGATACAATAAGGAACCACAATTTCATCCGGTACATATCAAGGTAGCTTGTCTCGGCAAAACTTAGTTTAAACAAAAGTAACACAGAACCAATACATAGCATCTGTCCATAATGCTTAAGGTAACCAACTGTCTTAGCATTGCCTTTATCATAAGATAGAAACCTAGCTAGGACCCGATCAAACTGCCATTTCAAGGACACTGTTGGGACCTTAGACCTCAGGTGCCAAGACCGGAGGGCGCAGCTCATCCTCATCCTTAGGGGTGTGGATGGTCACCAGGTCCGGAAGAGGGGTGATAGGGCCAACCTTGCCCTTCGGGTCCCAGTCGAGCATGATCTTCACCTTGATACCCAGAACACCCTGCACGACAGATAAAGTTTGTTGAGAAATTAGATTTGGATCATGTGGTGAAAATTAAGTGCCTGCTCAAAAGATAAACAAACATTACAAAGTGATTACAGGAAAACAGACCTGTCTGAGAAGGACGTGTCTCACAGCTGAGTCAATGTACTCGTTAACTGGCTGACCAGATGAGATCATGTAGCCATCCTTGAATTTCATGGACTTGGCTCTTTGGGCCCTGAGCTTTCCACTCACAATAACCTGTATTTAGAATAAATAATAATGTTGTTGAGATGCATTCACCAATCATCAGAAAATGAGCATATCCTCATAGAAGTACATAGAACAGTCACCTCACAACCCTTGGCACCACTCTCCATAACAAAGCGAAGAACACCATAGCAAGCCCTGCCAGCGATACAAGCATGTTAGTAAGGAGAACTATACTAACCATAATACATTACAGGGTCAAAAACCTAGAGAGCAAATTGAACAATGGCTCTTCAACATGTTACACAACATTCTATCATCCAAACAAGAAAAATATATTAGCAAATGCACAGATTGATACAATGGAAAGAAAGGCAGCACAAAGAAGAAAATTCATGAGCCTATGAGTACAATTCATGTCAAGAATGTGAGATAGAATTAGTAGACAAACAGCAAAAAGATTGTTCATCTGTGGATCTATCTCTCAACGGTTGTCTGGCCGCCGCTACTACAAGAGCAACATTTCTTCTATGCACTACCTTAAGTCCAACCATCATAAAAGAAGGCAGGTAAAAATAAATATTGGTGCCAAAAATGGAAAAATTGTATCTGATACATTCAAATAACTGGTGAATGTTAGTGATGCAAAAGATTTTGTAGGAATGCCTAGCAAAACTATTAAACCATGAAATTACTTGCAGTGGGCACAACTACTGTAAATTAGGCCAATAAAGTTGATAGGCTATTAGGTCAATGGGACTGAAGAAATGTGAGACAGATTTAGTAGACAAACAACATGATATTAGTCATTTATCTGTGGATCTGTCTCAACGGTTGTCTGGCGGCCGCTGCCTCAAAGAGCAGCATTTCCTTTATGCACCCGTACAATATCCCACCAACAAGGACTGAAGGCAGAACATAAATCACAGGTGCAAGCATTCTAACCCCTGACTAATGTCTCGACTTTAAGTTTTAATCAACTCAAAATTCTTCTAACCAGATTATAAGCAAATTCTGGGTTATCATCTCCTAAAAATTCCAAATTTTGGGATCTGTAGGCAAGGTATCGCTAACCACGAATCATTTTTCACCGCTATATGTACCAACTAAATACAATTCAATGCGCAAGCATATACAAATTATAAGCAACTAGCAACCACATCAAAACCAGCAAATCACACAACTAGCGGGTCTTATCAAGTTATACCTCCGGACGGCAAGGCCTCCGAGGAGCTTGTAGCGGAGGGACTCAGCCTGCGCGATGGCGCAGAGGCCGCGGTTGACGACCTTCTCGGCGTAGAGCTCGACGCCGTTCTCGGGGAAGTTGAACCTCTTCTGGACGACGGAGGTGAGCTCCCTGATCCTGCGGCCCTTCTCGCCAAGCACATTCTGCGTGCGCGTGGCACGGATGATGATCTCCGTGCGCATCGGCGTGACGCGCACCTCCACGCCGGAGTAGCCGTCCTCCGCCAGCTCCCGCGTCAGCATCTCGTTGAGCTCGGCGTAGAACACACCGTCGCTGACGAACTACGCACACGAGCACCGCAGTCGGTTAGATCCATCGACGCAGGGGGGGAGACTCTCGGGGGAGACGGGAGGGTAGCGCAACGGTTAGGAGGAGCTCGCGTACCTTCTTCTTCTTGCTGATCTGGGTCGCCATGGTTGACGGAGGAAGATGGGGAGCTCCGGCGGCGGCGGCGAGCGGGCGAGAGCGCTAGGGTTTTGGGCGAGTGGGTCGGGAGGGGAGTGGCGGCGCGAGAGGAGGCGGCGAAGGGGGATGAGGTTATTTATAGGTGGGCCGCCGGGGTAGGGTTTGGATGCGCCTTCTGGCTGGGAGAGGCGAGCGGAGAGCGGTAGGCTTTGAGGCCCATTTGCGGATAATGGGTCTGACTGCGTGCCTTGTGCCTTGAGGCCCATCATTGTAAGGCCCATCATTGTGAATTTTAGCCCAATTAGCGGGTTCCTTATGAATCCTGACAAGTGGGACCCGGATGAAACTAATTGCGACAACCCTTTCGTCGAATTTTGAAAGGGATCGGGAGGAAAAATAACATTTGGGGAATTATCAAACATCTCGCTCGTTGGTGAGTCGCTGTCTGCCCAATACCCACCATCCCCACCAACGGCCGGCCGCCGCGGCGGAGCGGAGCAGAGCAGAGCGAGCCCCCATGGCGTCGAAGCAGATGGAGGAGATCCAGCGGAAGCTATCCCTGCTGGAGTACCCGCGGTCGAACGCCCCCGCGCAATCCCTCCTCTTCGCCGGCGTCGAGCGCTACCGCCTCCTCGAGTGGCTCTTCTTCCGGTACGCGCCCGCTCACCCGCGCCGCATTTCCTTTCCTCTCCGCTCGTCTGGGAGCTGTGATCTCTCTGCTGGGTTTGGGCTTCGATTTCGGGATTCGGGCCGGGAACTGACGGTCTGCTCGTTTGGTGTGTGCGTTCCGGAGGCTCCTAGGCGACAGATCGCCCTTCACGCAGCAGAACTGGCAGGGGGATAGCCTGGACCGCGACGAGGAGAACAACAGGATTCAACGTAAGGTTTTGGTTTCATCATTAGGCTAAAATGCTTTCCATTCCTGGGATCGCGCGTGGTGCTGATCTCGCGGTGGCGTGTGGTTCTGCAGACCTGGCGGAGATAGCTAACTTCCTGGGCATCACACCTTCGGTGGACACCGAGGCGATTCAGGTGATAGAAATGGCTGGCCTGTGTGTGTTATGTGTTACATTTGCTGGATTTTATGGTGCTATAGTCATGCAAGATGCCAAGATGTCTAGCACAGCACAATGGCAATTGCAAACTGAGATGTATGGTGTGTCATCTTTCATCGGTTCATAACGGTCGTTGTTGCAGGGTCGAGGTAGCTATGAGGAGCGGGTCGAACTGCTCCATCTTATTGTCGACCTAGTGGAAGCTAGTTGCTACGCTGACAATCCAGAATGGAGGTTGGGTTTACACACAATTATTTGTATCTGAAATAAAATGTACCTACTATGTTGATTATACAATAGATATTATACATAAAACTTGTGCAGCTTGTGATAAAACTTTCTTCCAACATCGTAATGTATGATGCCAAATGAAATCTGTTTACACAGAAAAGTATTGTGTTAATTTGCATATGAGGTGGGTACTTAACATAAAGTACTGAGAACAATTTGTACTGTTGTAGTGTTGATAAGCAATTGGAGAAGGATGTGCAACTCGTAGATTCTATTGCTGAGAAACAAGCCCAAATTTTTTCAGAGGAGTGCAAACTTTTCCCTGCAGATGTCCAAATACAATCAATTTACCCCTTGTAAGTACTTCCAATTTAAATCCATGCCAAATGTACTGTCTAGCTGCTTCATGTGCCTGCAGAATTGCTCCAATGGTCTGAATCTTTGTGGACGCCCTGTGATCGTCAAATAACTAAATTGTTCAAATCACCTCAAATTTTCTAATATGAATTCAATTCTCGTTTCGTAGGCCTGATATCGCTGAATTAGAGTTGAAGCTCTCGGAGTATACCAAAAAGATGTCCAATCTGCAGCAAATGGTTCAGGAATTAGCATCGAAGGTACAATAGAATATACAACTGTACATATGTTTCAAGTTCAGGAATTAATGCTGGTTTATGTTTGAATGGAAACTTGGAGAAACTTTTTCTGCACTAGCTTCACAGTTTTCTTCCTTTTGAATTTTATAAAGTTTGTGCATTAATTATCAAAGGCAGAGCTAATTGTGACCTCTTGTCCGTTTCTTCACACCCCAACCTGCATGCTAAAGTTTTTTTTTTTTTTGATATTTTCACAGTTGTATGTTATCTTTCAGAGCATGCAACCATTTAGCTTAATTTTTATAATGAATTACTTTCTGATACAATACATTCTGATTTTTTCTGTGTATATGATGCTGTTTGTTGTTCTTCCCTTAGTAGTCAGTATCATGCTATTTTAAGTTAACTGTGTAGTTGCTTGTGACAGTATGATTATAATCCAAATGAAGACTATGCCGAGACAGAGTTGAAGTTGAGGGAACACTTGAAATCATTTTTGGAAACGGTTAAATCCTTCAACACAATATATACTAAGGTGAATATCTTATGCAGCAATTCCTATTTTCCCCATCTCTTGTTTATATACACTGGATATGTGTAATATTTTCTGTTGGTGATTATTAATTTTAAGTGCTGAATATCTGTATAATAAAGGTGATTTGAATTATCATGATATAGGAAATCCATCCTTGGACCCACATGATGGAAGTGCCACAATTGCATGGCTTCGGTCCAGCTGCTAACCGCCTCTTGGAGGCATACAATACCCTTTTAAAGGTAATTTTGGAATGTCCACTTCACTAATTGGTCATGTTGTTCATTTCTTGGTACTTTACTATCACTGACCTTCATACTGTGACATGGTTAGCCGATGGACAGTGTAACCAACAGGAATAAAACAGAATGTGTTTCTGCTGGAAATTGAGAACTAATTTGACCTGCTTTGAATAACTACAGCTCCTGTGCAGTTAGTGAGCGTTGAGCACCATATCTCTTCAATACTATATCTCTTGAAATGCCCTGCCTTGGAATTGTATGACCTCATGTGTAATTCTGCTCCATCTTGACAATACCATATCTCTTTACCGTTAGTGGGCATCTTCTCAGGATCTTTCATTCCATGCTCTCTCCAATTAGATAGCGCACTGTGTTGTGTCTTTTGGGTTCCTGTTTCTAACCCACAGAACATGCCTTTTGACCTGGTTATTTATCTGTGACTTTTCAGTTCCTGGGAAATCTGAGGAGTCTCCGAGATTCATACACTGCAATGGCTGCTGGTTCACTGTCGGCTTCTAATGAGCCTTCATCTGTGACCAAGATTATTTCAGACTGCGAATCTGCACTGACCTTCTTGAATCACAGCCTTTCCATCCTTTCCACTTCTGTGGCACGTGAGCAGGGGGAAACACTATGAGTTTACAGTATTTGGATACCAAGATATAGTTTCGAGGAATTTATGTATGTAACCTTGCAGTGATTCAGTTGTTTGCTTCCTATTAAAAAAATCAGTCATTTGCATTTTAGTTTCTTCTAATGCATACACCCTCCATTCCAAATTATAAATAGTTCTGCCTTTTCTAGATACATTGTTTTTACTATGCATCTATAGGATATGTCTAGATACATAATAAAAGTTATTTATCTAGAAAAAAAACAAAAATGACTTATAGTTTGAAATGGAGGGACTAGTAAAGCTTTTGACCTCTTGCGAGTCTAGTTTGTAACACTTACTAAACATCATTCTTGATAAGTTGTATCTAGAGTTCTTCTCGAGTTTGTGCCGTTTCTGTATATGTATGTGCTTTTATCCTTGATAAGTTCTCTTGTTGATCGAATATTCTGGATTTAAAGAGAACTCCATATATTATATCTCTAGTGAAATTCACTTTGTCGAGGAACGCTCGAAACATAATATTGCAGTTGTTCAAGATTTTAAGGCCGCTTATATGTGGCTGCTTAGCAAATACAGTCCGACGTTTCAAGCAGTTTGGTTTTCAGTTTTCACCTAAATGTGACATGCACTAGTCTAGCCAAATTTTGGCAAATTTTGGTCACCAGACTATGGTTTTGATCAACTTAGGCCACCAAAATGATTTACGATGGTCAAATGGAAAAACTACCGAGCTAAATTTTGGCATCAAACTCAATGGAAGCCCATTTTGGTCAAAGTAGCCAAATCTTGGTTTGTATCCTTGGGTACACATGGGTAACCAACCACACGCACCCGAGCATGTCCCGCCTACGGGGCCATTTGAGGCCTGTACTATTGTTTACGATTATTATGCTTATAATATAGTTATACCAAATAAATCAATTCTTAAAATTCGTGTCAGTCGAATTATCTTAAGTTCGATTAACTTTATATAAATGAATAATAACATCTATGACATAAAATGAGCATGTTACGAAAATATATTCTATGGTATATCTAATGATACGAGTTTTTCTAGAGATTTAGTTAAAGTTAAAAAAATTTAACTTAAGACCCCTCTAGGAATATATTTATTCACGGACAGAGGTAGTATTAGAACATCGTCCCCGTCTGGCAGAGAGAGAAACGGACGCACATTTACACAAGTTTGTCCTTAGACATTACATCGACTTCATAGCTTGTACTAACTTCAATCCGGTGAGCGGCTCATGTCTGAGGGCTTACCTATGCTTCACCCTCGCGTACCGCCCCAACTTTCGCGTCTGTGTTCGACAACCATGTCCTATCGCTTGGTGGTAATCTCGCAGGACGTTACGTATGCTTGCGGAGACAAAGATGCCCTCGCCTGATTGAGGTAGCCTCTGAGAGCAAGGATAGTAACCCAGCCGGCAGCCGGCTAAATATAATGCCAGGTGTGTTAAAGGCTTCACTAGTATAATGGCTTGGCTTTATGGGTGTGCCTGGGGGCATGTGCATAACATGCAAAGAGCAGGCGCACAACGAATGAGATTCTTCGGTACAAAGCAAAACGCTAGTTTTTCGGTCACCGTCGGCTGGGAGCAGGCGTTTTAATCTCGTGGAACGTGCTCAGCCGAGCGGTAAGCGAAGCGTCGGCTCGCGTCTCTCTCTTTCATTCTCTCTCATCCAGCAAGAATTTTTCTGACGTGGACTCGTATACAGCCCGCTTGTGTGGCTTTATTATACTTGCTCGAGGAGAGCGTTGAAGCGAATAAAGTGCTCCACAATGACGTCACATCTTCAAGGGCTTGCCCGTGCTCAGGCAAGGCAAAGAGCCAGCCAACGGTGCCTAGGTAGTAGCACTTGGTGAAAGCAATGACAAGTGAGAGAGAGAGAGAGTAAAGAGGTAGAGGGCAGTAGGGGACCAGAAATAGCATTGCAAAAGCGAACACACTTAAGGCCCCGTCTAGATCAAAAAATTTTAGGTTTTGGCTACGGTAGCACTTTCGCTTGTATTTAGCAATTAGTGTCTAATTATGAACTAATTAGGTTCGAAAGTTTCGTCTCACGATTTCTCACTAAACTGTGTAATTAGTTTTTTTTTCGTCTACATTTAGTACTCCATGCATGTGCCGCAAGATTCGATGTAATGAATACTGCGCAAAAAATTTTAGGTTTTGGGGGAACTAAAGAGGCCTTTACTCCCTCTGTTTTATAAGGTAGTATATTCCAAAATATTTAATAAGATATTTAAAGGAATACTCAATGGCGCATATATATATACCCACCCGTTATATAGCACAATGCATTCTAAAACGTTTAAGATAACTTATTAAACGAACACTCAATGACGCATTGTACCCATGCATTAAACCTGGTTAAGGAGTTTATCATCAAATTATGGTTTTCTTTTTAAAAAAAACTTTGCTAGATTTGAGTATGGGCATCACATAGAGTGCTTTATATTTTAGTAAAAAAATTAAAAGCTATAATACACTATACTACAGTACGGAGGAACAGCTCTAAGCTTCTGAATTTTATTATATGATTAGAATAAAAACTTGATTTTCTTTATCTACTATAATAGAAAAAACAGCTCAACCATACAACCTTGGAATACTTTGATATAGGAATATTCTGTTCCAAGATATATACAAAATTCCTTATAGATAGAGCTATGACAAATGTGGTTCTATTGTTTTTTTTTTTGGCCTATGACTTCATATCCGGCCATAAAATTATTGTTTTTTGCAACACTGTTACTATAGTCGCGGGTGATATTTAGAGTATACATAGATATCTTTACATGTATCCAGAAATATTTTTTTCGATCCGAGATTAACCCCACTTCTATTCATTAGACAGAAATACTAGTGTGTGTGTATATATATATATATATATATATATATATATATATATATATATATATCCAAAATATAATACAACGGATCAAGATAAGATTGATGACGTGTTTGGTTACACGTCATGGCTAGCCACGCCGTTTCAGCAGCGTCACAATTGTGTGGCGGGAAGAATGACCGCCGCATGTCTCACCTTCGACACGGACAAAACGACAAGCCACGGGAGCTGGCGGCTAAGATTTACACGGCAACCAAGCAGCGGCCAAAGTTGCCGGACTTTTGGCAAGTTGCGTCGTGCAACCAACACATGCCCTTGAGTATATTTTTTTTTGAAAGAGTTAAATGCATCATTGGTCTATTAACTTGTACACATGTTTCACTTAGGTCCATTAACTATGAAAGTATTTTTTCAGGTCCATAAACTTTTGAAGTGATGCATCTCTAGTCCATACCCCTTCGTTTATCTTTTTAATCTGACGTGGCAGTCCACGGTGTGCTCGCGTAACAGGACTATGCCACCCGCAGGCGCGCGCTGTTGCGGGAGGACAGGGCACCGGAGAACGCCCTGTCGGATCAGCTCACCACCCTACAGGAGGACATCGCCGACCGCACGCTCCTGCCCATCGTGAGGCAGCGCGGTGAGCTTGCCACGGCGGCGGCGGCTACGGTGGCACCGCTCGACTCTGCTTGCGGAACCTACGCCGGCGCGGACGCCAAGGTGGACGCGGCACTGGACAGGTACAAGGCCACGCTGTCGCGGCTGCTGATGTAGGCCGACGAGCTGAGGATGGCGACGACGTGGGCGTTGACGACGGAGATCCTGACATCGCGGCAAACGGTGGAGATGCTGGCGGCAGGCAAGCATCTGTACCTCTCCGTCCGCGACTGGTCCCGTCATTACGGCGGCACCTCCGCCGCCGTCAGCCGAAATCCACGAAAGGCTCTGGGTTGTCTCTGGCGTCGCCTTCAGTGCCCCGTCATTACCGCTGAGGCCGAGCAAAACGAGGTAGACTGGCGTGCACAGCCGCACATGCCAACATGGACCATCGCCAGCCGCACTCCCGCGCCCTCCTCCGGCTCCACGGTCAGCACAGGCAGCGGCGCCGTGTCCAGCTGCTCCGCAGGGGTGGTGGCGATACCCGGCCACACATGAGCTCGCCAAGGTGCACTATATCCAGCCGCTCACCATCTTTCAACTTGATGATATGTATATTCATAGTCCAGCCTCCAGCGGATGCAAGACAAACCAAGACCAGGGCCCTGGTGGGCAACCTTAAGGAGGTGCAGTGGATGGGGCCATGGAGGAGGCCTTCGCGCTGAAGCACCTCGTTGGCGCCGACGTTGACGCCATGGACGCCGAGGCCGCGCTACTCACCTCAAACTTATTCGGCTAAACTAAAAAAACACTGTTCATGTTGGTTTTCACTATTCATGCTGGTTTTTTGTGAGGGGAAAACACTGTCCCGGCTGGAAAAACAAGTCGAACAAGGTGGTTTGTTGCTCAGCCGAACAAGCTCCTCGGTGGCGTACCAGAACCCGTCCAAAGTGCTTGTCAGGACACGGCACGCCGACGTGCACCTCAACGTCAAGGTCGCCGGGTTCGGCCAGCCCGACATCAGCGCCATCGTCGCCACCAACCCTTGCATCCGGTACGCGCCGAAGGTGTGGAGCGGGAGGCGGCCTAGTGCACCGAGGAGGCGGACGTGTACAGCTTTGAGATGCTGACAGGGAATTCCCGTTCGAGGACAACCACCTGCGGGGGGAGCACATGAGCAAGAACATCTGGCTGGCGAGCGGCCGCTGTTCCCGTCCAAGGCACCCAAGTACCTGACCAGCCTGACCAAGCGGTGCTTGTTGGCACGGGGCCCGGTGCAGCGGCCGGCTGTGACAGAACCGCCCAATTTATACAAGATCAAGTATGGCTGTCCCCGCTAACACGTTGACACGCGTATACTTTCACTTATATAAACCCGGTAGTCCGCCGAGTGTCTCGAAAGACCTCGGTAAATCAACATCACAACCAAGATCGCGTGATTAAGCAAATACACATCACATACGCAGAGTTGCAACAGAAATAATATTACAAATAGGTTCACAATTAATAGTACAAGTTTGGGTTTCAAAACCAATTATTGAAAACAACGTAGCTTTCAAATGATTACATTAAAATAAGTTCCAAATACATTGCTAGCATAAGTGACATCCTCAGATAAAAGCATATAGGTGAGAAGTAAATATAGAGTCACCGAGCCCACCAGCGGTTAGCCACCATCTTCCGCAGGCCAAGAACTTCACCTACAACATGGTGGGATAAACCCTGAGTACTCGAATGTACTCAGCTAGACTTACCCGACATAACCGAAAATAAAGTGACACCAAGGATTATGAAGGGCTTTATAGTAGGGTAGCTGACTCATTTGCAAAAAGAGGCATTTTTAGTATTTCAAGAACCTTTTCAAAAGCATTATTGTCAAGTTAATTATTATTAACCTGTCGACTACATTTGCACTTATACTAGAGCAAGCATGTGATTAAGTAAATAATGATAACCAATGATCATTAACAACTTCCATAATGTCATATTCATTATAACTGTCCAAGTGTTCCATCAACATTACTACGATGAAGTAACTCAAGTCAAGTGTTCACTATCCAGTGAACGATGGCGATTCGAATCGATTATTAACCAGCTGGTAATTTATTCCTTACACAAACCTCACTCACCCGCTAAAGTGAGGTATCGATCACCGAGTCAACTATCCAGGAAAAATCTCGAGTTTGCTAGGAACCACATGTACCCAGGGACCGACCGACTGCCTTTTGGTCTTATCATCAAGCCCCCATGTCCTACCACACCTGCTCCGGTACAGTGCGCTGCGGGCAATCTACTCGGCCTGAATAATCTCCCAGCTTCGTGGTCGAAAGGTACTTTATTCGGCCAGTTAAATGTAAGGCATGCGTTCAACATGACCTGAGGCCCAACAACGGTCGGTCCTTAATCGACACAAACGAAAAACACTACAGTCCAAAACTCTGTAAGTCTCCGTCCGGTCTCAACTTCAAATTAACACTTAGTTGTACCATGACTACATAGTTATCCAAGCAGATCCAGGTAACCATCTATAGCTCGCAGGTGATAGGAAATCACCCGACTTCTACCGGTCTAAACCAGCTAAGCATTGACTCGACTGCGGATACCAGGGTAACAAGGATATAGTATAACAAAGGTAGACAAGGTATAATGCAGCAATGGTTACAAACAACTCCTGAACGTAATGCATCAATTAAAGTAAAGCATTAATTAATAATCGCAAACTAGGGAGGAAAATGCTCCGGGGCTTGCCTAGGATCCGACACAAGTCAGTTCAGTTAGCTTGTACCGTCCTAGTGACGTCTCAGGTCCTAGCACTCGCTTAGTCCTTCCATCTTCGAGACAGATCCTCCATACATCGTCTTCGGGTTCGGCTCCAACATCACGTTCTTCACGTGGTTCATCTAGCGCACCTAGATGAGATGCAAGATGCATGTGTATGAATGTGATGAATGGTAACACAAGATGCATCACATAAGCATTCAAGACAAACCAGTTATTCACGGCAATCATAGAGTCAAGGCTGCAAACAGCAGCAGCTAATTTTACTCATAACAGGAGTTGTACTAATCCAAAAGACATGCAACAAGACAATCTGGAAAGATTATGAAATTTTCTACAGTTCATCTTTAATCATCTTAGCATGATTCTCAAGTTAACTAAGTCAAATATACCCATTTATAGAAACTGGTCCATAATTGACAGAAAGCAGCCATTTCTGATACCCAACTTTAAACAGGCATAACTCACAAACCACAAGTCCAAATACCACCAAATTTTAACATAAGCTAGATACATGAATTATCTACAACTTTGTTATTCTCATATTAAGATGATCTTACAGTTAGAAGGGTCAACTAATCCAATAATTGCATCTCTGTCCAAAACATAGACAGAAACTGACATGCCACTTTAAACAGCTATAAATGGAGTTATACATGTACTATAAATATGATTCTAGACTTTTTAGAAAGCTTAGCAAATTCTAAACAACTTTGTTGTAAACACCTAAAGCTAATTATACTATTAAGAAGGCCCAACAGTAAGAACAAGGAAACCCTGTCTGGGTTTGGGCAAAAACAGCCACAGAGATTTAAGCAAGTATAACTCAAGATCTACTTAACCAAAAATCATGATATTTAACTTTTTGGAAATCTTAAGAAAAGTACTACAACTCATGTATTTTCATCAAGTCATGATTCATAACTTAACTGAGCCAATTAATTCAAACATGCAGAACTATTCAGAGTAGGAGCAAAGCAATACGGGGCAATTTTTATTTTTATAACTCTTAAAATATAAATCCTAAACTCCTGAAATTTTTACCAGACAACAACAAGCACCTGATGAGCACTCCATAAAAAATTCACATTTATTTGAGCAAAAGAACTACAGTTATGAAAAAGACAAGACGCAACTAGTATTACAAACCTAACTGCATAAATTGATTTTTACAGCAAAAACTTTAAACTAAATCACGCCATATTATAGATCTAGTGCATAGATAATTTCACAAGGATTCCAAAAAGTCCACATTTGTTATTTTACGATTTTTCTATTAATTATTACGATTTTCCAAAGTTCGGCACAAAAATCTACAAAAAGAAAAGATTAAACCGAAAAAAGAAAATACTTTTGCATTAGGAACCCTGGAAATCTTAGAAACCAACAAAGCTCATATATGTAAATACATGTGTCAGGCTTTTATGCAAATTGAACACATGAAAGAGCTTCTATTTACGATTCACCCGTCTTCTTCAACCTCACACCACGGGGAAAGTGAAGAAGGCGTCGTCGGTCACCAAACAAGGGGGCGTCGGGGTTGGACACGGGGCGCTGGGATTCGGCCGTGGCCAGCCCTCGCCGGCAGCGCTAACTCTGATCTGCATTGCAGCCCAAGAATGCTTCTGTGGCAAGAAGGCGGCACCTGCATGACGAGCTAATCGGTGGCGGCGAACTACTGACGGAGAGGAGGGGTCGGTTAGAGCTTGGGGACTAGAAAAACGGGGGTCATCCAGGCGAGGTTGGAGCATTTGTAGGTCCTAGGGCTGGAGGACAAAGCATGGTTGCTACTACGGTGGATTTTGGCGGTAACAATGGCTTCTTCTTTGTCGCCGTGTGTCAGCTCGACCAAGGGAGAAAGAAAGAAAAATGCAGAGGAAGGGAGAGGGAGAATGGAGAGGGCCGGGGAAAACATGGCTCAAGCTCGGCTTTCATGCACCTTGGGCGAGGTGGCGACGGGCGCAGACATGGGAGGCCCTGTGCCTGTGGCGTTCTGCCTGATCGGCCAGTTCAAAAATTATGAAGGAACAACAATACTACCTCAAACATACCACTGAAGCCCCATTTTCCTCCCATCATATCTCCTAAACAGATCGATTATTTGATCAACCGATTGCATAGTTATGTAGAGCTACGTGTGTACTACGATACTTCTGAAGGGAGTCTCATCTAATTCTCAACGGTTTCCAAACGATAATTCGCTAAAGATAGGTACACGAAAACCGAATATTGAAAATTGATCATCCAGACTTAGCCGATTTTGAACCCGAAAACAACCTTTGGATTTGACATTGTGAGCGGCATTTGACTAAGCTAGGCACTAATTTAGCTCTTGAGCATTAAACAAAGTTTGTTCTACTCCACTCAAACTTCAACTTTTGTTTAGGTTCCACTGCCAT